GAATTTTGCAATTTCATTTCTTTTATGGTTAGCTTTAATTTTACAATGTTCAATAGTTGTCTCCTTTACCTCTATTTTAAACAGATCCCACACGATTGCTAAGCTTTTTCAGTTTCTTAATTTTCCATATTTATCAATTAAAGTGTTTACTTTAATTATGTATGATTCGTCTTTAAGTATACTTACTATACATTTTTAATTATTACAAACTTTTCAAAACATTTACTAAATTTTATCATCGCTACAAGGACATCATTTGTAAAAATAAATCAACTTGCAGATATGATATATGTTTAGGTATTTCACATCCCATCTGTTATGGTAATAATCTATAAAGCACAGAAATGTTGTCATTCACCTCAATGCTAACCAAACCTTAAAACAAGGGATATAGTTACAATACTGTTGTCAAGTAATTAAAGGTGACATTTTTGAAATTAATATTGATTCATTCATAGGGATTTTAAATTGGAAATAAAAAAAAATTATTCTAAAATCAGTTGTGGGCATGGTACAGGTTATATTCTTCTCGTATAATTTATGATGGCATGATACTAAACCCCTAACGGGAGGGATTGTGGTTTATTTTCATATTATGAAGACATAATCTATCATAAGTTTAATTGAAGTCTGGAGCTGGCATGTCAGTAACTGCTAGTTGTCCTTTGGTCATTCATGTATATCATTGTCATTTTGCTTAGTTTCTTCTTTTATCTATACATACATCAGACTCAGATTACTTTTAAAGTGAGTTTTACTGTGCGTTTTGCTCAAGGATCCGGAAATTTTTCCACACAATTTCGGTCATTTTGAGATGATTGAAAAGTTGGTGCCCCTTTCCAAATTGTCGATGTCAACTTGACTAGATTCATATCATCAACGAACTGCTGTTTCGTCGCATTTACTAAGTAAATGTCTTACCATTACCATGAAGAACAGTTTAGGGAAGGCAATAGTTTAAAATTGAAATGATTTTAATGACTCAAAAATGGTAAATCTCTTAGACATTGCATACGTTTCTTTCGATTTGACAAAAGTTAAAACCGAAAGTTTGCGATAAAGTACGAATAATTCCGGATTCATTTCCGGGATTTGTTTTGTTTATCAAATTGACAGGAAATCACCGGCTTTTTATGTTTTTTTATTTTATTACCTTTAAAAGTGTTTGAATGTAACAGACAATAGTTGCACTCGTTTAATTTAGCATGAAATCAATTTGCATTTTACGATTAAATATTAAATTTGCTGAAGACAATTTCACGCATGCGTATTATATAGTAAATAAAGCACATGAAAAAATAATTTTTTCTCCGTAAATTTAGGTTTAATTTTCAAATCTGATTTGATGATTGTCTTTGCTGAAAAGTAATTAAATAATGAATACACTTTTCAGGGAATTTCAATTTTTGTTAAGAAATTATTCTGAGCTTGTGATCACTGTCAGGTCTGAATTAAAACCACAGGTAATAAAATGCTTCGCTGGGGCGCAGCTTGATACGACCGCAGAGGTCGAACCCTGAACAGTTGGGGCAAGTATGGACACAACATTCAAGCTTGATACAGCTCTGAATTTGGATTGTGATTAAATATTTGACACAGCATAGGTTTCTGACACAGAAAGAATGTGGTCTAAGAACTTGAATTTTTTTAATTTACCTACTATGGCCCAATGTCCAAAATCAAAATACATGGTTAGATTCAGCATATCAAAGAACCCCATATATTCAATTTTTGTTAAAATCAAACAAAGTTTAATTTTGGACCCCAACTTGGACAAACTTGAAAACTGGGCCCATAATCAAAAATCTAAACACATGTTTAGATTCAGCATATCAAATAACCCTAAGAATTCAATTTTTGCTAAAATCAAACTAAGTTTAATTTTGGACCCTTTGGACCTTAATGTAGACCAATTTAAAAAACGGGACTTAAAATTAAAAATCTAAATACACGGTTAGATTTGGAATATCAAAGAACCCCAATAATTCAATTTTTGATGAAATCAAACAAAGTTTAATTTTGGACCCTTTTGACCTCAATATGAACCAACTTGATAGCGGGGCCCACAAATAAAAAATCTAAATTCATGGTTAGATTCAGCATACCAAAGAACCCCATATATTCAATTTTTGTTGAACTCAAAAAAAGTTTAATTTTGGACCCCAACTTGAAAACTGGGCCCATAATCAAAAATCTAGACACATGTTTAGATTCAGCATATCAAAGAACCCCAAGAATTCAATTTTTGTTAAAATCAAACTAAGTTTAATTTTGGACCCTTTGGACCTCAATGAAGACCAATTTAAAAAACTGGACCCAAATTAAAAATCTAAAAACACGGTTAGATTTGGCATATCAAAGAACCCCAATAATTCAATTTTTGATAAAATCAAACAAAGTTTAATTTTGGACCCTTTTGACCTCAATATGAACCAATTTGATAGCGGGGCCTACAAATAAAAAATCTAAATACATGGTTAGATTCAGCATATCAAAGAACCTCATATATTCAATTTTTGTTGAAATCAAACAAAGTTTAATTTTGGACCCCAATTTGGACCAACTTGAAAACTGGGCCCATAATCAAAAATCTAAATACATGTTTAGATTCAGCATATCAAAGAACCCCATATATTCAATTTTTGTTGAAATCAAACAAAGTTTAAATACTGGACCCTATCTTGGACCAACTTGAAAACTGGGCCCATAATCAAAAATCTAAACACATGTTTAGATTCAGCATATCAAAAAACACCAAGAATTCAATTTTTGTTAAAATCAAACTAAGTTTAATTTTGGACCCTTTGGACCTTAATGTAGACCAATTTAAAAAACAGGACCCAAAATTAAAAAATCTAAATACACGGTTAGATTTGGAATATCAAAGAACCCCAATAATTCAATTTTAGATGAAATCAAACAAAGTTTAATTTTGGACCCTTTTGACCTCAATATGAACCAATTTGATAAGGGGGTCCAAAAATAAAAAATGTAAATACATGGTTAGATTCAGCATATCAAGGAACCCCATATATTCAATTTTTGTTGAAATCAAACAAAGTTCAATTTTGGACCCCAATTTGGACCAACTTGAAAACTGGGCCAAAAATTAAAAATCTAAATATATGTTTAGATGCAGCATATCAAAGAACCTCATATATTCAATTTTTGCTAAAATCAAACAAAGTTTAATTTTGGACCCTTTGGACCTTAATGTAGACCAATTTGAAAACTGGACCCAAAATTAAAAATCTAAATACACTGTTGGATTCGGCATAACAAATAAATAAATGTGATCAAAGATTTTACAAATCTAATGCGCCATACTGTGCAATTAAAGATTTCTTCTTGAAATTTTTCAATATTTGAATTTTGAAAAAAAAATAATATTTGAAGAATAATTTTTTTAATTTCTGAAATCTGAAATGAGAAAAAATTGACCCCCCACAATTTCTTTTTATCCCCCCCCCCTTTTTTTTCCCCCAAAAAATTCTTTCCCTCAAGATATGGTCATAATCTCAATTCAAATTTCCAATGGAGTTGGCAACCATAATTACCCATTTAAATTTACCATAGTGCTAACTTAATCTATTTTATAATAGAATTAAAAATATAGTGTCAAATCTTTCATATGGATTTTTTTGTAGAAAAAAAAAGATGCAACATTTGCAGATATTTTTACTGGTCTTCCTTTATAAATATGCATTTCTTTAAACATAATTTAAAAGCAGTGTAAGGGAAGTAACCAAAACGTTGTATTTGGATTACCTCCCTTACACTGTTTTAAATTATCTTTATTGTTCATTAACCATTACTTTATACATAATTTAAAAGCAGTGTAAGGGAGATAATTTCAATGATGTATTTGATTTATCTCCCTTACACTGCTTTAAATTATGTTTTGTACTAAAGTATTTGTCCATTAACCAGGACAACCTTGTTATTCCCCCTTTTTTGCCCCTAATTCCTAAACGGTTTGAGCCATAACCCCCCAAAGCAAATCCTAACCATCCCTTTGTGGTATGGAAACTTGTAGTATAATTTCAGAGCGATTCATACACCGTTCCACAGTTATTGTCTGGAAACTAGAAAATGCTTATTTTTGGCCCCTAATTCCTTAACTGTTGGTACCATAACCCCCAAAATCAATCCCAACCTTCCTTTTGTGGTATTTAACCTTATGGTCAAATTTCAAAAAGATCCATTTACTTAAACTAAAGTTAGAGTGCGAAAACCAATGTGTCTTCGGACGACGACGACGACGACGACGCCAACGTCATACCAATATACGACCACAAAATTTTTTTGCGGTCGTATAAAAAGTGATTAGCGATCATTAGCCAATGTTTCCCGGAGGCATTGATATAGATATTAGGAGGGCCCTCAGGATTATCAAACTACTGAAGTGGCAGTTTAATTACAGGAAAGGCATTATAAACAAAAACAAGTGATCACAACTTACACAAGACAGTGCAAAATGGCGATTAAGAAATCCGATTTCAAACATTTAGTCAATGAAATGACCGAAATTACTTCTTTAAAAAAACAAAATTTGTCCTAAATCCCAATTACTCGTTTAGGACAAATAGTTTCATCTTAGGACATGACTGGCATATATGACCGTTTCCGGACCCTTGGTTTTGCTGTGTGTTTCTTTATTCCACATTGGCTAGAGGTAAAGGGTGCAAGATTTTTCTCGCTGTGTTGAAGACTCATTGTTGTCTCTTTGACACAGTCTCCATTTCCATTATCTATTCTATACATAAGTATTATATAACCGTAAAATCTAATTTACTTGATTCAAATACACCAATTATTTGACTTTGATATATAAGTTCATTCAAGCATCGAGAGTTTAGGTAAGTTTAACTGTACTCAATCAACCATTTATTTGAGGTTTCCAATTAGAACTTGTGAAAGGTAGTCAAGGACTGGCACAATCCCAGCAATCTCTGATTAGTGGAAGATACCAAAAGTCATCTTGATATTTAAGAGCTTACCTCAAATTTATGAATGTTGCCATTACTTAAAGTCATTTCCATGAGTACTGTTGGTTCTAATGCTCTGTTTAATACACTGAAATCAAAAACAGTTACTTAAAAAAAGTTACATTGAAAGAATGGCTGTGCCTATCAAAATCTAATACACCACATACAAACCTAAGAAAAATAGACTATAAGATTTTTCAGACCTGCAGGCTGTAGTAGTTGCTAACACCATCCTTTTCCCGTTAGTCCATTCAAACCTGCTATAAAGGTTACCTCTTTTTAGCAAAAACCTGTCTTGGCAGGTCACCTTCTTCTTGTCAAGTTGTATTAATAACTATACATTTTGAACCTTAATTCAAAGGTCACCTCTCTTGTAAGGTTATTTTTCTTTGGTCCCAAGGGTGACCTTTATATATAGGTTTGACTGTATATTGGTATCTCACCATCAAATTTAAAGTCAGTAAAACATGACTAAAATAGGCAAATATTTGCCTAAGATAGACAGATTTTGATATTATCAAGTTACAAAATATTAATGGATTAAGTACTTTATTGTACTTCAAAACATGCCTATTCATATATAAATGACATACTATATATACATACACAAAATATTTGCCACTGGACATTAAGCAAACAACAATCAATCATAAATAATACTTCATAAAACACCTAATTATAAAAATAAACATTTAAATTTTGGAGCATGACCCAGGTAGAGAGGATGGGGTGCTTCTAAACTGTATGCATTTAACATGTTAATGCTACTAATATCAGAAAATTAATTTCCATTTCTAACTGTGTGATGCTCAACTCAGACAAAGATATTTGTTATACCTAAACATAAATAAAACCAAAAAAATCAACCATGACCTGAACCATGAATTGCTCTTTATTGTATAAATTTAATTCTTGGTGCATTCATGATGAAGTTTCTTAGTGTCTGATAGCATAAGTACTTGACTTACGAACTATATTACTTAGCTATTACAGAGAGATTGATAGATGACATGCGACATCATTAACATGTCAAATTTGTCAAAAACAGTTTACAGAGTACACAAGCTGAAATGTTTCGCCTACTCTACTGACCATGACTGATTTAATGTTGAAAGACTTAAACATAAAGGTTTTACTATTTAGTATCACATAAATTTAACATTATCAATCTTAGATGACAATAAGGGCAAGATCAGATAAACCCTGGCAAACAGACATGTACACCTTACAACCATTCCATACAACAAGTATAGTTGGTCTTTTGCTTATACTTTCAAAGTAAGAAACCAAACTGTGAAACCTTAACATTAACCAATGAACCATGAAAATGGAGTCAAGGTCAGATGAAACATGTCAGACAGACATTCATTCCATGCACCAAATATAGTTGACCTATTGTTTCGATTACTAAGAAACAGACTTAACCAGGAAAACTATATATTGACCAATGAACCATGAAAATGAGGTCAAGGTCTGAAGAACCCTGCCAGACAGACATGTAAACCATACCAAATATAGTAATCCTATTACTCATAATAAGTGAGAAATTCACATAGCAAGATAACAATAATTTTTTTCTAAGCAGTTGCTTAACCATGAAAATGAGGTCAAGAACAATATTAATGGACTATATGACATACGGAAACTTCGTAACATAAGGTATCTGCATACAAGGTATGAATCATCCAGGTCTTCTACCTTCTGAAATATACAGCTTTATACAAATAGATAGTTTGGCTGCCGCTGGATAGTGCTCCCTATGTCCCGCATTCAGCGACTATTGTCACTGGCAGGACAATAAACCTAATTGCTTAATATTATTTTAATGTCTTAGAATTTATCCAACCTTGTAGATATTGCAACATCTGCTCTCCACTTCAATGAATCAAGTCTGGGCAATCTTGGTCTGCTCTCCAAGGCATAGGTATCTATGTGTGGTCGTCTGTTAAATATAACATAAAATGCTTTATATGATTTGTTATAATATATCATAAGTTTATTGTACTTAAAAATTAGTTGGATAAAAAGACTGATGTCAAACCCAGTTGGTGGCTGGCAGCAGTTGTTACTGGCAGACCTTATACAGTATGGGGGTGAAAGGGTTTTACATCTACAGAAAGAAAAGCTGATTGAGATTTCTAAAAAATGTAAAAATCCTTTCTGGAAGGATGTTTTACTATGCTTTTCTATCGCAAAACCTAATACTGAGAATTCTGTCAGTGACATTTTATCATTAGATATTTTGAACTTTTCTTCTTTGGATGATTTCCCATATTATATTCAATGGAAACAAGGAGGTGTGCAGTCAGTAAGTGACCTAATTAATAAAGAAAATATGATTTTTTATAAATTTGAGCAATTTCAAGAAAGAGTAAAAATCAACAATTTTATCAAATATCAGGGTCTGATTTCAAGAATCCCTCAGACTATGAAAAAATACCTTAAAGAGAACTGTTTAAAGCAAGATTTGGATAAGCCTGATAATGGTGATATTTTTTTAAAGAGAATTATAGGTAATGTGAAAGCCAAATTTGTATATAAAAATTTAGTAAATAAAGTTATTGAACTACCAACAGTCAAGTTTTCGAAATGGGAAGAACTGTTGATTATTGATACAACAGAATGGTCAGAATATTTCAGGATAACCAAAAAATCATGTAGAGATGTTTATTTAAGAACTTTTCAATACAAATGTTTGCATAGAATCATAGCAACTAATACCTTTTTATACAAAATTAAATTAAAAGACACCAAGATGTGTACTTTTTGTAAACTTGGTGAAGAAACCATTGAACACCTTTTTTTTGAATGCCCAATAACTTTTCAATTGTGGCAGTCTTTTTCAAATGCAGTAAAACTTTTTTTTGTAAACTTTGTTCTTAACAAAGAGAATGTGTTTCTTGGTTGCAAACATGAAAGTTTATTACTGAATCTGTTAGTCATAATTACAAAAAACTATATATACAAATGTAAATTAAATGAAACAAAACCAAATATGGTTGGGTTAAAGAATAGAATAAAGAAATACAAATTTCTTGAATATTATATTGCAAAGAAAAATAATAGAGTCCAAGTGTGTGAAAAATTTTGGTCTCCTTTACATGAAATATTTTTCATATAAGTGAGAGAATAAAATATCTATATATCATGAGCAAATATTTAGCCTTGAGTTTTTTTTTTTTTTTTTTTTTTCTTTAAAATATTTTGTTTTTAAAATGTAAGTCAAGATACATCATGTACATATTGTAGCAAAGCAAATGAGTGAAGAGTATTTGTATTGTATGAGAGAAAATCAGAGAGCGAGAGAATATAATCAAATAAAATTTATATGTAACCTTAAATACTACATGTATAATTATAAAAATCAACTTGTCAGTGATATATATTGTATACTGAATTATTTTTTATATGTAACCCCTTGATACCCTTGTTAGGTGGTAGTGTAGGGGTACATGTATATTAAATCCTGACTATTGAAAAACAAATAAAAGATAAAAAAAAAAAAGTTTATTGTACTTATAATTGCTATCAAAATATACCAAAATTTCCCTCGTTTCTCACTTTTAGAATTTTGTACCAATTGAAAGGTATTTAATATATCTAGATCGAAATCTAGGCTTTGCAAATACACAAGTGTTGACACACTAAACTGTTTTCAGTATAAGAACTATTTTAATGGATAATTAATGACCTCTCAAAGTGTAGTGTTCTCCCAACTTTTTTTCAACTAGCACCATGTGATCTGAAATAGCACCATTTCCCTAAAAATGTAGCACCACATTTATAATACATTCTATCATAAAATCTATAAGATAGCACCGTCGTAAAAAATAAAGTTATGTGTGGTACCATGCATTTATTGTGCTATTAGGACTTCAAGAGAATAAATAACTGCACTTAATGAGTTCACATTGAACTAGGCGGACTAAAACAAATGTCTGACCCTTTCATCAATCATAAGAAGTCACTCCAAAAAAAGAAGGCACAACAAAACCATTCTAGTACAGGAAAGTCTTGTCATGGCAAGTAAGAATATACATTGGTTATGAGTGGGGATCTTAAACTGTTTTTGTTATATTTAACAATTAATGTTATAGGGGCAGGGCAGACCCCCCCCTCCCCCCTTTCCCCCTGAAAAAAAAAAAAACTGTTGTGGACATAAAAATGTTCTTTACAAATTTTTGACATTAGGGTCAAAGATCAAAGACACGGGTAAACTTCAATGTGACACATCTTTTTGATGTGAGCCACCCATTTGCCAAATATCAAAAGTTTATGTTAAAGGTTATTTTGGGACAAGAAAATGATCCAAAAAATCAATTATTTTTACCTTCAGGTCAAACGCCAAATTCACTTGAAGGTCATAATACAAGACACACTGTCTTATGGTAATACATGTATACCTTTTGTTGAAGAGGAGACATACATATTTTTAACCTATCATGTATAATATCTGAAATACATGACATATAGACCTACCCCAAAAGCTTAAGCCCACACACTATGGATTAGGAAAATAAGGTCAAAGTCATATATATATATTATGTGTCATAATACTAGAGTAATCCTCTAAAACATATCCATATTATAAAATATTAATGACCTGTATTGTGAAACAAAAAAGCATGAAAATTGCCTCAAACGTTCTTTATGTATACCCTCAAAAACCCACAAAATCTTGCAACAATTGCCCAGCTTCTGAAGATCTGTTGGTTTGAATTTTCATTAAATGGGAAAACCTAAAGTGTTAGTTTTCTATTGTCATTCAGCATTCATACAGGATAAGACTTGTGAAAATATTTATAACATCAGAAAGAACATTAATAATAGATACAAAAGTATGAATTAATTCTCAATGTCATATTAGAAATTTATGAAAATAAAAAGGGAGCTTACATCAATAGATATAAACAATTCACCAAAGTTTCATGAGAATTGGTGACAGCATTTTTGAGTTATTGTCAGAAAACTGGAAAATCACCCCTTTTTAATGAATAAAACCCCATAACTCAGAAATGTAAAATGTAAAATTTATAAAATTCTAAAGGGAGCTTACATCAATACATACAAACAATTCACCAAAGTTTCATAAGAATTGCTGAAAGCATTTGTGAGTTTTTGTCTGATAACTGGAAAGTCCCCCCTTTTTTTATGAATAAAACCCTGTAACTTGGAAACGTAAAATCTAAAATTTATAAAAATCAAAAGGGAGCTCATGTCAATAGATATAAACAATTCACCACAATTTCTTGCAAGTTGGTGAAAGCATTCTTGACTTATTGTCCGAAAACTGGAAAATCCCCCTTTTTTTAATGAATAAAACCCCATAACTCGGAAACGTATAATCTAAATTTTATAAAAAACGAAAGGGAGCTCACGTCAATAGATATAAACAATTCACCAAAGTTTTATGCAAATTGGTTTAAGCAATTTTGAGTTAATGTCCGACATGTTGACGACGGACAGACGGACGGACGGACGGACAGACGGACAACTGTATACCATAATACGTCCCGTAAACGGGCGTATAAAAACATGTTGCTATATATTATAATATTATTATTTGGACTTTTATTCAGTGTGTGAGTTAGTCAGCCATAGCTTAGACATCATTAACCTTTAAAAAAACTGTGTTTATTCCTATACTGAACTTCCACGAAAAAATTCAGTAAAAACCAAACAGAATCGCCTATTTGTTAGTTTTAAATTCAATCTAAAGTACATTATATATAAATTCGAAATTCAAAGGTATGAATGACATCAGATGTTTTGCAATATACCAATTGTATTGTTGACCTTAGGTAGCAATACACAGTTAGGAGCAGGGCTTCCAAAACGGTCATATATTCCGGACTTGACCGAAACTTTCATAAAAAGACCGGCTGCTCTCAGCCTCAAACGGTCAAATAGAATTGGTGTGCCACATTTTGTTATTCAAGGCATTTTCATGAAACGGTCATTTCAATTTTTACCAACTATCGATCGATAAAAATGTCCGTTTGGGGCTTTGGGCATGTCCGTTTGGGCATTTTAGTTTATAATTGTGGCAATCTATTTCACAAAGATATTTCGGTCATAATTGGGTTTAATAAAACAGAAGCAGCATATTTCAGATACTTTGAAGTGTCTCAGTTAGTCTAATCCTCTGGGTACATAAATGTACGGCTTGGTCTTTAGCTTGTGTACATCAATAAAAAGTAGAAAAAACACGTTTTCTTTTATTTAAATAACAACAAGCTGTCAAACAATTATCCCTTCAATAAGTTATATTGAAGCCATAAATCATTCACTGATTACAGGTTTGTTACCTTTGATGAGGTGTCCTTAGCTTATCTTTATCAATAGAATTAATGATGCATAACAATGTACATAAAGGTAATCCGGTAAACGAGGTCAAACATGTAAGCGTGTATGGAACAACATCCTATTTAATTACGCTTTATAGATATTATTTTAAATGAGCATTCAGTTTTAAAAGTATCCTGATATTTAAAAGTTATTCTTCAAATAAGGATATTTATAAATGAATAAGTATGATATATATTATTTTATTTAACACTGTACATCGTATTAAATACTGGGGTACTCTCAAGGGGAAAATTTACTAAAATATATAGGAAAAACCAATGGACAAATTTCAGTCAATAAATGATTTAACTAAGTTAAATGGTGCCGTGATCACTTCTAAATTATATCAAGAGAACAATGCCTGCTCCGAATTTATTCAGACAATTTCCGATGTTATAGAGAAAGAGGTGATGTCCGACGTAAAGTTAAGTCCCGCCGTGGGAATTATGATCGACTAAGGTGTAGTCTAGGTATTGACGCTTTAGATCAACTTATGAGGATAAGCTTAGTAGGTGTAGATGTTAAAGACTTTGACCCTGTTCCTGCTATCCGCAAATGGCAATCCGTTCGTAACCGCCATGTTTATCAGAACAA